GTTTTGAAGAACAGCCATTTCAGATGAGGATGCTAGTGCATGCCGCAGTTAAATTTGTCAGGCCATCTAGTCTAATTCATATAATTGTGGCTGTTGCAAATATTAATCAAAACCAAAAATACCACGATTTCCCAGACAATATCGGTGTGATTATCTCGTACCAAAAACACCACATTAAAAAGTTTTGAACATTCTACTGATGATGCATATAAAATGTAAAAATTAATCAATTAAAAGGGAATATTTTGTTCCACTAATTCGTAAACATTCCTGTTCAGCATTACGACTGGACATCGCCAGTTATGACAATGGTAATATTTTTAATTGATTACGAGTAACAAAAATATAAATTTGTTTAAAAAGGGTGATGTGAAACATATAGAATTTTAAAGGATATGTGACAAAAAACAAAAGGATGAGAAATGATTAAAGGTTTTTTTTTGCAAAAATCTCCAATTTTTAGGCAACGCGAATAGCCATCCACGTTCTAATTGTTGAGGCAACACTAAATTCCGCGCCAGAATTATTCGCCGTGTTCTCGTCATTATCCAAGTCGATCGTATTCGTCAACATTTACGCGTACACGACGGGAGTGTGTGCACCGCTGCGTGCCCTCTGTCATCCGTTTATTTTTGCACTTTCGCATCGTGATTTCAATGAAATCCTGCACATCCGCATTGCTCAAATCTACAGAGCTGCGCTCGCTGTGTTAGGTTTTGTCCCTAACAAAAAGCCACGAGTTTTTTGGTCTAGTATCACTGGCAACAAAAATTCCCGAGCGAAATCTATCCCCTCAACTCATGCGTCACGTTTTGGAAAAATCGAAATTTCGTACATTCAACCTCATGGTAAATAAAAAAAAAATGGCCAGCGCACCGACTGCCGGTGCGAAGATGCATTTTTTGCATAGTTTCCCACAGGCTTTTGTCGCTAACGGCACTGATTTTTCCGGCAGATGCTTGCAGGTAAAAGAATTGAGACTGGCCTCCAGGACTGTCAGGAAAAATCCCTCCAAAATTCCAGTTTTCTAACTTCTCAGTTCCCGAGTCAGCAACTTACCTATACGTGACTTTTACAAGCCCGCACGAGGGTACCATGCATACACGAAGGCTAGGTTTGAACTCGTTAAGAACTACGTGGGCAGGGAACGTCCTCTTAAAATTTCAGCTTCTCAGCTTCTCTGGTTCCCGAGTTAGCAGCTCGCTCATAAAAAAATTTGTAGATTAAGTTCACAAAGTTTCAGCCCTGTAGCTTTTGTAGGTCTCGAGATGAAAGATCGATACAAACGAACGCACATACAAATACACACACACACAGACAACCTTTCGTCAAAATGCGTTTCTGCATTGCACAGAAGCAAAAAGCGCATAATAACATGTAACTGTTACAGCCGTACTAATTTCGAGAATACCAAAACTTTCATTCCGTACTGTGCTCTTTTTCTTTTTTTTTTGCCAAAAATGTATATATGTGCTGTTTAATGAATAAAACTTTGTATGCCAAAAATACTAACATCATCAGAGCACCAGCGTCAGTACCCCATGTTAGAGGCGTTGCTGAAATGCTCACAAACACTGGAAAAGCGAGTAAATTGTTTTTTCATAAACCTGTTGCGTGCTTAAAGTGACTGAAGACAACAGAACATTCAGGATTGTGGATTTAGAAAAAAAACTGAGAAAATCCACAAAGGCAGTAGTGCGTGCCAGAGGCTTAACTGTGCTTGATTACACGTCTTTATATTTACACTTATGAGGATTAAAAAATTCAATTTTGTCGTTGTGATGACTTTGTGTTTTCAAAGCGTCTTTTTCAGTCCAGAAAATAGCCTAAGTCCTTTCTTGAATTAGTCGCTCTAGAATATTTTAATTACCTAACCCGAGTTTCCGGGTTCTAGCTCTTCAATGGCCGTAATGAGCAAAATTACATAGATCTTTTTCTTCGTCTGAAACAAAGTTTTATTTTGAGATATTGTCTCTGCTT